ATAATTGATATGACAGAGAAATAACTTGTATATCAGAATAAAATATGCTTTTCAAAAGATCTTGTTCATGTGCTGCAATTTTCAACTCAGTCTGAATTGATGAAGATTTACAATATGATCATATCTCAACAACTTCAGTTTTGATTCTCATGACTCAGTGAAGAAAATACTGATCTTGACTCTCATATGCTGACAGATCAGAACCTGATTCAAATGCTGTATTCACATAAATATTAAGTTGATTGAGAACTTGAATAATTGAGATATATTTCATCTCATTCTTCATTGTGATTATTTTGAAGGGACTAAATAATGAATTCAAGAATGATAATCTTTGTGCAGTCTGCAGAGTATAGTGAACAGCTTCTTGAACTTTCAGAACTATTATATAAGACCTCATGTCTGAATGTCAGTGATCATGTCTGACAAAATGCACTCTCTCAATGTGAGATATATTATTCAACCCTGATTTGCAAAAGCATTTGAGATTCCCACACTGATATTGAATAAAATCAGAAGAAAAAATAGGTTTATTTGATGAATATCATACAAAGTCATCAGAATAATATTTAACTGAGCTTTCTCAACTGTGAGATTGCCATAACTCTGTGAGATTATTGACAATTTCTGCCATTTCTATATGCATTTGTTGCTGGAAAGTTGAGGATTTGAGGAGAGCAGATATCAAGGAAATCAGATTTTGAAAGTAGAGTGATCTCATGAAGAATTCAGTGAGATTTTTCTGAGCAGAACTCAGAGTTGGCATTTGCATTGATGATACTATTGAAATTGAGATTTCCTTGACTGACAAAATTAGAAATTATGCTCTGTATTGCTTTTTCAGAGTTGAGAGGCCTTCTGAGAGCAGACTTATCAGTGATGTATTCTTCAATAAATGCAGAATTTGCATTAATGATTTGTAGTTTTTTCAGGAAATACCTGACTCTTCAGCTCAGAGTCTCATTGTCAGAATAAATGAATTCATTTCAAAGTTACTGTGTTTATGAGATATATCAATTGCTGGATCAGAATCAACAAATTGATCAGTAATAGCAACAGCAATTGCATCAGCAGCTGGCATTTCAATATTATCAGTGACTGACTCATCAGAATTCTCTTGATCATTATTTTCAGAAATATTCTTCTCAGCAGCTGCTTTCAAAAGTCACTCAATATGCTCAACATTATCAGCAGCATTCTCATTATATGACTCTGTCTTTAGAGAATGTTAGTTTTTATAATAATAGAGACATTAAAAGTGATAAACTTACTGAAAATAGCAATGCTTCTTCATCAGAAGCATCATTATTGAAATCACTTTCAGTGAAATCTTCATTTACAGTTTCTGAGAAAAGGAGGCTCTGAGATTGAAATTCTGATTAATCATCCCTGGATTCTTGTCTAGAGACAGATAGCAGATAGTGTTTCAGATTTCAATTAAACAGATGCAACATTTTGCTTTCTGATATAATTTATAGAAAAAAGTTGCATAGTTGAAAAGATATAAATGAAGTGAATGAGTGATCTTGATAAAATAAAGAGATGAGATTGAATTATTAAAAAGAGATATATTAATAAGAGCTGCAATCAGTGACAATCTACATCAATTTAATATTAACAATCAAACTACTTTCTTTGTTTCAAAATTATATTCCTGCAATTTGTTGAAATTCATATCACAAATTTATCAGAGTTTCATCAAGATTCTGAAAATGAATATTGTCATGAATTCTGCTCTACTAGATCTCTTCAAACTCTCCCATCTGGTAGGTTTAATGAGACAAATCACCGATTTCAAAAGAAATCCGATATTGACATATCTGAACATAGAATGAACATAATGGTAGCAATGATGAATACCAGCCAGATAAGAAGAAGTCAAACTCATCACTGATATCAAGCAGTCTGTTAAAAAGACATTGCTGAACCCAGCATTCAGATGCAGAAATGTATAAGAAGGAAATTCAGCTGATAGAGCAGTGTCTGTGTCTGAAGATAAAATGAATGTATTTTCTTTCTTTCAACAAAGATAATTTGGATTGAATGGTTGCAAGTGTGACAAAAATAAAGAATAAAACATCATACATCTTTTCATTCAGCAGAACAATGATGCTGAATGTGATTAAAACATGAAAGTTCTGAACTCTCAAAGAAATGAAGATAAGTAGTATTAGATTTTAGCAAATATATCAACTTTTCAGTGAGATATTAAAATTTTTTTGACCAACTTAGCTAATCATTTATTAATATAGAACCATGTTCAATGAAAGAAGATAAAGAGCAGAGAAAGTTCAGTGATAATTGAATTGCATAACTGCTATGAAGAATCAATCATCTTTGAATACTTCTGTGATTCATTTACTGCTGAAAAGTTCTTTCTGGTTTTTTACTGAGTGTGAGAAATCATCAACTTTGATCAATTCTCTGAGTGAGAACAATGATATATGAAATGTAAGTTGAATATTCATTAGTTAAAGATATTGAATTGAAAACTTCAGATTGAAAAACTAGAAACTGATTCTGAAAAATAGAGATATATGTCAATCTTGTAACTCAGGTCAAAATATTTGATGATGCTGATACAAATGAAAATTCTGCTGCAGCTATACTGCAATGATAAAATATTCTGATATTCTGAAATCTGATAAGTGATATTTCTGAATATCAGTAAATTATCAGAGATGACTTTGCTGAGATGATTCAGAATATCTTGACAGTAAAAAAGAGACATCTGATGAAAGATGCACAGGAGAAGGTGCAGAAAAAGATCAAATTTTCAGAGATACTTTCAGCAAAAGACAGATCAGTGATATAGAGATTTTCAACACAATCTATTTATATTTCAATATATTTAGTTTTCTATGAGTTTTATATATAAATTAGTTAATATATACTTTAATACACATAATTAGAATATATCTGTCTTGATATTTGTTGAAGAAAGTTATTATATTCTCTATCTTATAATTTGTATAGAATTCATCAATTTCACTGCATTAGAAAATCTTGAATTCTGTAGATATATTCCTGACAGTGCATTGAACACTTGTTCCTAGTTAATAGAAATGATTTTATATTCAAAATAGCTGTAATTCAATCAGTGATAGCCTGCACAAAAAGTATTAAGATATGAATGAAATCTGTCAGATGTGCTGATTACACTCAGAAATGAAATATGAAAGCATTTACATTCATTATATGATAATCTGCAAAGATGAATCAATAACACATATAAAGACTCACATTTTTCTTTTTCTTCTTTTCTTCTTTCTTCTTCTTGCAATAATAATATATCACAAAGATCATTCTCAGCTCACTCAGTTCACTCTGTTCTTCTTCATTTCTCAGTCTGATTAGTATTCTGCCAGTTGTAATAGAAAGCTTTTAATCAGAAAAGTTCTAATCAAGATATCTTATCTGTGTAGTATATCAAGAACATCAGCAATTCATTATATCAGTATCAATTACAGTAATAATAATAGTAGCAGTATTAATCACAGCAACAACAACAGTAGCAGTATCAAAATAATAAGTAACACTCTCAAGCATACTCATGCTGCTGTTACAAAGACTCAAGAGAAGAAAGTAAGCAGCTGTCTGAATACTCTGATAAAGCAGTCTGATAAATAAACAATGTGTGAGCACTGTATTAAGTATATTTTTTCCTGTCATTTGAATGCTGCTTGTGATAAGATGAAGAGAAGCTCAAAGTCTTATATAAATTGCAATTATGAGAAAAAGAGATGTGTGATTATTTCTGAAGAATTAAAAGAATAAGTTAACAATCTGATCTGAATTTACAACTTTTATCTTTCTACATTGAATAATTTTAAGAAAATAATAAAGAGAGCTATATTGAAATTGATGAAGAATCTTTTAAAACAGATCAAGAAAGTCAAAACTTGCTGACAGAAAGTAAAAGCTTAATGTATAAAAAGTGTTACTATTGCTCTGAAAGCTCTGAATATCATTATCAGTGCTGCTGAAAAAGCTAAAATTAAGATTAAGAAGATCAAGTTAAATATTAAAAGAGTGAAATTAGAAATTGAAAAGAAAAAAGTTGCTGTAGAAAAGAAGAAAATCATGATTAAAAAGATAAAACTTAATATTAAAACTATCAAGCTTGAAGTGCATTACAAGCTTTTGAGAATGATAGTCAGTTATATTAAAGAATAAAAATCAGTAATGAAGAATCTCACAAATTTGATAAATAATGTCAATACTGAAGCTAGCTGTATTGTTATTGAGATGTATGAAATAATGAAGCATGTTCAGAGACTTGCAGATTATCTTGATAAGAATTCAGTTACAGTCAGCAATAGTAGCAGCAGTAATGAGAAATTTAATAATAATAATAATTCTCTTTCTGTCTCTCTCACTGACATCTCTACTACTGCTGTTGATTCTTTCTTCTCTTTCTTCTCTGATCTTTCAACTCTGATTAGTTCTCTGGCTATGAGCAGCACTGGAACTCTTGACATTCTCAGTGAAAAAGTAAGTTAGAATCAGCAAAATGATTCCCAGATTTATACAGAAGTTGATAATAATATAGATGAATAAATGCATGACTTCTGATTCCTCTGAAACTCTCTCTCTCAAACAGTGAATGATCATTGACACTGACTCTTCACAAACTTCAATATCAATTTGCAAGTTCTCTGAAATAAATGTTGATGTGAATATGACAGGAAATGATGACAATGATATAGAGATGATTTGAAGAATCCAGGAGGAATTACAGGGAGATGTGACAGATTTTCAATAGAGGATGATTCCAGTGAATGAGATGTTTTTTAGAATTAGTGGTTATATAGATAGGAATCAGTGACATTGTCAATACAATGATGATTTTGTTCTGTTCATAACTCATTTACAGTGATTCCACGGCTAATCCATCATTATATTATATTTTACAGTTCGGCGACGGTGTCGGCGACTGGCACGGCGGAACAACCATAACCCGGTCGTATAATAAGCCTACGTTTTTCCGGAATGGATTGTTTAGCGCACACCATATGATTCATATCCAAGAAGTAGGGATTCCTTTTGCTCTTAGCCTCTTACAGATAACGATACTATTTCCCCCATATATCATCCCATCGGCCTTCCTTCTCTTCAGCCCACATGTGGCTGTTGTTCGGGTATGGACCGTACCGTATCCATGGATCGTATGGCGAACCTCCAGCAAAGAAATAGAGCCGAAGCTATTCATCAACTGTGTTATTTAGCGGCTCCGGCTCCGTCTCCGTCTCCGCCCCCACACTTTCCAGTTTCTCCTGACTGAAATTGTCTCCGCATTTTCCCCCGGACAACGCAGAAACACATCAAATGATGGATCAACAGCAGCTGGACTTTGAAAAGCGGGAATTATTTTCAACCACCACATGAATAGTTTACCTGCTGTTCAGCAGTTCACGCAGACTACCGAGTTGTGCACTTCTAAACCTGAACCTAATATCCCTATCTACACGCATATACAATAAACCTCGGAGCCAACGCAATTTCTTCCCTTACGCTCCCCCGATTAATAAATTAAATAGATAACTAAGGGCGCGTAATGGTCGACAACAAGTTAGACGCTGCGCCTACACAGTCCGGCGCGGGGGTAGATGCGATTAAGGCGGCAGATAACCCCAGCAGCGCACATGTTGAGATGAGCGCGATCCCGGATTCGCACGAGCCCACCCCACCTAATGCTGCTTCTGGGGCGATGGGTGGCAGCGAGCGCCCCTTATACAGGATCTATAAACGCCGTTTCTTCGGCCTGGCGCAGTTGGTATTGCTTAATACCGTTGTTAGTTGGGATGTATGTGAGAGTCATGGTCGCATGGAAAGAGACACATGAAAGGGAGATAGGACGAGAGAGAGAGATAGATAGACCGTTCGCTGACCTTATGATATCTCTATCACAGTGGTTAACCTTCTCCGCCGTCTCAAAAACTGCCTCAGAACATTTTCGCGTCTCAGAAGGCACGATCAACTGGATGAGCGTAGCCTTCCAACTGGCGTTTTGTATTTCGACCCCGTAAGAAAATCCCAAAATACGAATGACGCAGTTACTCGTCACTAACACTCTTCTTCCCTCCCCCAGCGCCGTCATCTGGACCCTCAATAAAGGAGGACCTAAGCTGTCTCTCACTGTCTCCGCCGTCCTCCTCTTATGCGGCAACTGGATTCGCTATGCCGGCGCTCGAGCAGGTAACAGCATCTTCGGCGTCGCGATGTTCGGACAGATTTTGATCGGCCTTGCGCAACCATTCTGCTTAAGCGCGCCCACACGCTATAGTGATCTATGGTTCACCGGCAAGGGGCGCACCAGTGCAACGGCCATTGCTACACTTGCGAACCCCTTTGGTGGTGCGCTTGGGCAGTTGATTGGGCCGATCCTAGCAACGAAGAGCTCTGAAATTCCGAATATGGTGCTCTATGTGTCTATCATTGTAAGTAGGGAGAAAAAATAATTGCTCCTCTCGTCATCTGGGATATAGGATCCGGGAAAAATTAGCGTCAGCAATGCAATACCCGGATTTTGGCCAAGTAGTTGGGGGTCAGAAGTGGAATAAAAGAGCCGCGATGCAGTCAATCTAAGAAGGGTGGCATAAACGGTTACGCTAATTGTGTCAGGATTCGACCCAAATCATCCGATATAAGATGTTAGCAAGACCACGAAAGGAGAGAGAAAGAAAAAGCTAACAGAAATTCTGATGAATAGTCCACCGTCGTCTGCGTCCCATCCTTCTTCATCCCCTCCGCCCCACCAACCCCACCAACCGCCTCCGCAGCCATCGAGCGAATCCCCCTCACCAAGTCTCCGTTAAAACTAATCCGCACCCTTGAATTCTGGCTCATCTTCCTCCCATTCAGCGTCTACGTCGGCCTCTTCAACAGCATCTCCTCCCTCCTCAACCAGATCCTTGAACCCCACGGCTTCAGCGAGACAGATGCCGGTATCACCGGCGCCTTGCTCATCGTCGTCGGCCTCGTCGCCGCCGCCATCATCTCCCCCATCACAGACCGCTACAAGAGCTACCTGCTGCTGACCAAAGTCCTCGTCCCCATCATAGCCGTCTGCTACATCGGCTTCGTCTTCGCGCCGCGCGCAAGCAACGTCGCGGGACCCTATGTCGTCGCCGCCCTGCTGGGCGCGTCCAGCTTCGCCGTCCTCCCCGTCATCCTCGAGTATATGGTTGAAATCACCTACCCGATGTCGCCAGAGGTGACCAGTTCGTCTGCTGAGGGGCGGGCAGTTGCTAGCCCCCTCGTTTATTCTTATGAGATGCGTTGAAGGAAGGGGCGGATGCGCAGCCGCCAATGAATATGACGCGTGCGTTGATTTTTCAGGCTGTGCTTGCGTCAGTGGTTGTGCCGGTGCCGCTCTGCTTGGGGCTGTTTGGGCGGAATCCCAGGAGTCGGAGGCTTGAGGCGGAGATTGCGGCGGAATCGGCGGAATCGGCGGAATCGGCGGAATCGGCGGAATTGGAGGCACAGACGCGCGGGAGCAATGAATGCGATAGTGATTATGGAGTAGGAAGGGCAGGGCCCGCCGTGGGATGTGATGAGCCTTTTGATATATATGTTGATGTTTTATATACGAGAGTTTGTGATGTGCTTTATATATGGGGCTATGTTTTCTTATCGACTCTTTTTCTCTCTTTTTCTCTACTTTTGTTTCGCTGCAATCCTACTGATACTCATCGGGGCTCCTTGGTGATCCTGGAGGATTTTCATTTCTCTACCTTGTAAGTTTTTTATATCTTGGCCTTCGATGCTCTCCCCCCCAAGCTTTTCTCTAGGCAATATAACGGTGCAAAGTTTTACGTTGTGTACATCTGCATGTACATACATGTGTCAGTTGTTTTACCTTTTGAAGTGTTTAGTTTTTTAATATCCAGCGGAGATTTTTGCATTTATTATATTACCAAAGCACGAAATTATGCCACAAATATCGGTATATGAGTGCGTCCATGGCTATAAAAACGAAGACCGTCCAACCATTTTCTTGTCCTCAACCCGAAAAAGAATTAATTAGGAACCCGTGAAAACGGCACATTGGAATAAAGGAAGTTAGATAGATACGATATATGAATCTAGATGAGATAATAGGAAGGGGTGAGGACAATGACGTTTATCTAAAGTAGTTCTGTACAGATTAAAGGGAAAACAAGGGGGGCGGGGGGGGCGGGGGGGATAATGATACATGAATTTTTTTTCTTCAATGCGGGCCGATTCATGATTTTTTTGGGGGGAGGGTGGGTGGTACAGTATGTTGTATGTATATGACGGGGGGATATCAAGCAATAACTAGAAAAAGTAAAAAAAATGGTCACTCAGATCCTTTTTTCACTTCCCCCGTTGCTTGAGTTCTTCCTTCCTCCGCCCAAGTCTCTCGTCTCTCGTTTATTTATTTACTTTATTAATTTTATTTTAAATGGTGATGATCCTCCGAAACCCAAGCCTACACCGCAAGCGGGTTTTGTCCGAAATTCCCGTTTCCTCTCCATATCAATTTTTGACTGTCCACTAGGATAACTGGTCTAGGGGGGTGGTTTTAAATGTTGGAAGGTGACGCGGTATCTGATCAGTAACGGTAGGGCTTCCGGATAGTGAAGGTGGGGTGGGGGTGCTTATTTGAGAGCTCGGAAGAGCTTAGGGGCAGCGCATTTGGTTGCGCAGTGTTGGAGATGGAAGACTAGATGAGGGATTTTAGAAAATTAACCAATTAGCAACTTAAGTAAAAGACATATAGTCGACTGTCAATGGATTTCAGGGACGTTGGCCGTGAATTCGTTTCATTTTCTCTCGCGATGGACCCATTGATTTTGAAAATCGGGGAGGGGAGAGAATATTTGAATCCGAATCATGCGGTGTACGTGTCGCAAAAGAATGCCGAGAGCCGCCGGTAATACGCCCATGAAGACATGATAAGAGAATATAAACTTACACTCCTCAACGCAGTCCTCGTGGGGACCCTTGAAATCGGGATCTTCGCTGTTGCGGGTGACTCGCTCGACGCACTCATCAAAGTGGTGCTTTGCAGGCGCGCATTTGGCAGAGTTGGCGCATTCTATCAATTGAAGCAAAAAGAAAGCGAGATCAGTTAGTTAACTTCGTGTAGCCTTTATACGTAGTTTTGGATCACTGTTTGCATTGTCCCGAGCCCGGTTGACGAAAGGTAGAGCTTGTTGATGAATGCTAGGGGTATTTCCAGGTGGTGCTTCTTTGACAGATTACCCCATTCCGCCCCATGACTCTCTCTGCAAGGTGCATTGGGAAACCAATCCCAATGGGCCGGGAATAAAGCTAGGTCACCGTCTCTTTCTGTCTCTCTCCCTGATTTTAAGAATTCCACCTCGCTACCTATATATCCCACTCATCATGAAGGGAGAGAAAAAACAAGAAAACCCAAACGGGAAACCACTCACCCTCCTCCAACTTAGGTTTAATATCTTCAACTTCCTCCTCTTCTTCTTCCTCCTCGGGCTCCTCTTCCTTCTCCTCCGGTGCGTCCGCAGCAGTCGGCTCCTCGGCTGGTGGTGCTTCGGCCTGCGCCTCCGCGAAGGGCAGCGAGCTAATTAGATCGGTGAACATGTCGACGAAACCCATCTTTGGGTAGGACGGAGGGCAATTGAGAGCAACTGGGGGAAGGCTGGTGGGGGAGGGGCGTGGTGGTGGTTGGTTTTTCGAAGCCAGATGCTGTTGATGTTCGAATGCCTTTCTTTTGCTTTTTCGAGTTCGAGGTTTGCAAGGGAAAAGTCGGGCTGGACTGTGGTTGGTCAGTCAGAATTATGGGACACGTGATTGGCTGTCCCTGAGATTAAGTAAGCGTATGGATCGAGAGAGAAGTTTTCAGAGATGTCGTAAGTAAATATCAATGGATATACAATCTAGTGCAGAAACCAATTTAATATCTGAATATGATAACTGTTTCTTAATATTCAAGCCAGTTTGATAACTTTCGCCTCCATCAGCCTTCGTATAAACTCATAGAAATAGCACATAAGCTCATATAATCATTAACTATGTATATATATACATACACCATAGAAGATACTAGCAGAAAGAAATACATATCAACTTGCATGCACGAGTAACATCTTTTCTAATGACGATTTTGAAGTCTTCCACCAAAGTCTTCCACCATCGGCATGGTGTCAGACTGTGTAACAACAACATATAGAGAAGTATGTTCCCTCCGCATCGTCATCACTGATATTTCCGCAGACGTGCTTCAAGCGCGTTCGCAACGCTCTGTTGCTGAACTTCCTCGTACCCCGGAGGAGGCTCTGTAGGGCTAGAGTCAGGAGGATTATGCTCCCCCGTACGACTGTTATCGTCTTGGTTGGAAACGCGATGGTTATTCCGTTCATGCAGATCCGGAGATAGAAATGCTGGCAATGACGTGGTATCTGTCGGCTCAGTAGGATGGCCGGGTCCTTCGTATGCGGGGAGCTCATCAAGATGGATCGCTGAGAAATCCACAGAGCCTGTCGCCCTGCCGCTTTCTTGCGATTGCTCGAGAGCCTGTTGCAGACGTTCTTTGATTCGTTCGAAGGCTGAGTGGAAATCAAATGCTCCGCCATCCTTGAAAGTTAACTTTAGCTGGAGGGAAACATGGGAAGGGGGAATGCCGCCGCCAGGAACGGGTTTGACCTGTGCGGTCCAGAGGTTGGGACCAAAAAAGGGAGCTGAAACATGCGTGTCTTGCAGATTTAGGAGAGGGGCGGAGAATGATTGGAACTGTGGGGTGGAATGTGCCGGGAGGTAGACAACCTGAAAGCTTCTGTTAGGAACTATCGTCATGTACGAACAGCGCGAAGGGAAACACACTCGTTGGTTCGTAAGATAGACACGTCCAGTGCTACTCTGAACTGACAGAGGTTCATTTCCCGGTTTGGGATTCCCGCTTTGAAGCATAAGACTTGTTCGAGGCGGGGAAGTATACATGATGCGTTCATTAGGAAGGCGGACGAATGCCTCCGTTTCATGGAGCATGACCCAACTACTTCGCCGGAGCCTACTTAGTATTGTCTTTTTCATTGAAAATTTCGAGGACATGGTCTATTCTCTTAGAAATATGGGATGTGATATTGGGTATCACATTATAAAGGGAAAATAAAGGAATGTATAGTAGATGAGGGCATAAATGGAAAGAGAGGAAAGGGGGAGAGCAACAGAAATTGCAGATCGAACAGAGCAAAGCATGAAATGGTATATGTAGCCACCTAAAAAGAAGGAAAATACATACTTTATAGACATTTTCCCAAAGAATAGCCTGTCCTGGGAAGGTTTTGAAAACTACCTGATAACCAGTGTTTTGTGGCTTGAGGTTGGCGATGAGAGCTGTGGGACACCTTACTCTCCCTTGTTCACGGTAATATTAGCAAACTCTAGCTAGGGTTAAGGAAAACTACCAATCGTCAGCAAGACTGAACCAGGCCAGAACGAAAAGTTAACGGGCGGGGGTTAGTATCAAGCAAGAATTTCGTTAATAATTGACTGCTGGGTGACGGGTATACTTCGTTTCCTAGCGAGGGGTAGTAACTAGTGGCATGACTTGCGGCAAACATGCTGATTGCGAGTAATATGCACGAATCATAGCTGCTGGAAGCTTCGGGGAAAGGAAGGGAGATTAGTTATACCTTTTGCAACTCCCTGCAGGCCTCAAAGTAACGTCTGTATGAAACTAGTTGCACAAGTGGAACTGAGTCCGTGCTGCTCTCTGCAAGAAGCGAGTGGCTAGATATCGCGCAACTTTCGTTTAAAGAGGTCTGGCCAGGGGAAAACGGCGCGTAGATCGCTAACTAGAGCAGCGAGCGGAGCGATAAAGGGCAACAAGTGGCCAGATCAATATCGGTCGCTTGGGGCGTTCCCAGTGGTTCAGCCTAATTCTTGCTTAGGTACTCCGTAGACGGAGTGTGGGGAGGGAGGGAGGGGCCAGCGAGTCTATCTGAAGGATTTGAAGTCGGCGAAGGGATGTCAAAATAAACGCAGAGAGACGATGGAATCTTTCGTGCTGCGTTGAAAGGACCTCTGATAGATAGTTACACAATCTGTGGGGTTGAGTGTTGAGTTGTGGGTTGGAGAGGTGGATTTATTCAAGAGGAAGAAGTCCTGGTGGATGTTTTATCATACATAAATAACTAAGAAACACATTATTGTTTCGGATTCTCCTCCCCCGCCTGATTTACACATCGATCGAACGCTTCATTACGGAGTACATTTTTATATTTGCTGCCTCTACATAGAGTTGAAGCATTGAATTACACTATCTTTATTCATATCAACTTAGGGGAAAAAAAAAAGAAAGAAAGAAAGAAAGAAAATGAAATGAAAAGAAAAGAAAATGAAATGAAATGAAAAAGAGCATTTTCGAGGAGGATTGTACGGTGCGAACCCTACCTAGTTGGTCTATAGATATCTCTCTACCTTCAGCAAACTGGTACTCTATTGATG